TCTCTATCCCTCTACCTTCCTCTCTGTAAAAAAAAGAAATCAATAAAAATATATTTTAAAAAAACTTTAGACAATTAAAAAGAAAAATAAATCCTATCTAATAAAGAGGGAATATGCTAATTGACCTTCATGCCGTTGCAAAGATGGTGGTGCCCACAGACAATAAGGAGGGAATATGCTAATTGTGACCAGCCCTCAAAGATGGTGGCACCCACATCCAATAAAAAAGGGAATATGCTAATTGACTGTCATGCTCTGAAAGATGGTGGCACCCATAGCCACAAGATGGTGGTGCCCAGTCCCCTTAGCCCCGCTGGGGCAGAAGGCATGTGGCAAGGCCAGGTCCACCCTCAGGCAGGCGCAGTCGCTCTGGGCCCCTGCCTCCAGAGTCTTCTCAGCTCCCCAGCCACCCAGGGCCAGCCCAAGTTGCAGGCAATCCTCGGTTGGTTGCTTCCCACCTGCCCAGGGCCAGCCTGAGGTGCAGGCATGCCTCAGATGGCGGCTGCTCAGCCGCTCAGGGCTGCCTGAGACTCAGGTAATCAGCACTGCCGAGGCTTGTGCTGCTGGCAGTGGCAGCAGCAGAGGTGTGATGGGGTGTCACCTTCCCTGGATTGCTGGGTCGCCTCCCACCCCTGAGGGCTCCCGGACTGTGAGAGCGGGCAGGCCAGACTGAGGGATACCCCCTCCAGTGCATGAATTTTCATGCACGGGGCCTTTAGTAAATAAATAAAATACCTAGGAATAAATTTAACAAAGAATGTAAAAGACCTGTACTCGAAAATTGTAAGACACTGAAGAAAGATATTGAAGAAGATACAAAAAAGCATATATTGTGTTCATGAACAGGAAGAATTAATATATTTAAAATGTCTATACTACTCAAACCAATATATATTTAACACAATTCCTATCAAGGTACCAGTAGCATATTCACAGAACAGGAACAAATATTCCAAAAATCTATATAGAACCACAAAAGACCCTGTAGAGCCATAGTAATCTTAAAAAAGAAGAACAAAATTGGAGGAATCACACTACCTGATATCAAAGTATACTACAAGGCCACAGTAATCAAAACAGTATTGTACTGGCAATAAAAAACAGACATATAGACTAATGGAACAGAAGAGAAAGCCCAGAAATAAGCTCAAACCTTTACGGTCAATAATTATTTGATGAAGGAGGCAAGAACATACAATGGGCTAAAGATTGTTTATTCAATAAATGATGTTGGGAAAATTGGACAGACACTTGCACAGATATGAAACTAGACCACCTGCTTACACCATAGACACCTCAAATTGAATTAAAGACTTAAATGTTAAACTTGGAAGAAAAGAAGCAGTAAAATCTCTGACATTTCTTGGAGCAATATTTTTTCTAATATATCTCCTTGGGTAAGAGAAACAAAGAAAAAATAAACAAATGGGATTACATCAAACTAAAAAGTTTTTGCACAGCAAAGAAAACCATTAACAAATGAAAAGACAACCCACTGAATGGGAGAGCATATTCACCAATGATACATCAGATAAGGGGTAATATCCACAATTCATAAAGAAATTATAAAATTCAACACCAAAAATCAAACAATCCAATTAAAAATGGACAAGGATCCTGAATAGATACTTCTTCAAAGAGGAAATACAGATGGCCAAAAAACATGTGAAAAGATGTTCAATGTCAGTAATCAGCAGAAAAATGCAAATTAAAACCACAATGAGGTATCACCCCACACCTGTCAGAATGGCTATCATTAATTAATCAACAAAAAAGTGTTGGTGAGGATGTGGAGAAAAAGGAACCCATTGTGCACTGTTGGTGGGAATGCAGATTGGTGTAGCCACTGTGGAAAGCAATATGGAGTTTCTAGAAAAATTTAAAAGTTGAACTGCCTTGTGAATATATATGAAGAAACGTGAAACACCAATTCAAAGGAATATAAGAACCCCTATGTTCACTGCAGCATTATTTACAATAGCCAAGATTAAGAGACAGCCCAAATGTCCATCAGTAGATGAGTGGATAAAAAAGCTGTGGTACGGCCCTGGCTAGGTAGTTAGTTAGAGCATTATCCCAATGTGCTAAGGTTGTGGGTTTGATCACCAGTCAGGGCACATACAAAAATTAACTAATGAATGCATAAATGAGTGGAACCACAAATTGATGTTTCTCTCTCTGGCTCAATTGGTTGGAGTATCATCCTATACACCGAAAAGGTTACCAGCTTGATTCCCAGTCGGCATATACCTAGGTCCTTGATTGGGGCAAATATTCCAAAAATCTATGTGGAACCACAAAAGACCTCAAAGAGCCATAGCAATCTTGGGGCATGTCTGAGAGCCAACCAATCAATGTTTCTCTCTCTCTACCTATCAAATCAATAAACATATCTATCCTTGGGTAAGGATTGAAAAAAAATAAGGAAATCATATCCTTTGCAACAGTATAGATGGACCTGGAGAGTATTATGCTAAATGAAATAAGCCAGTCAAAGGTCAAGTACTAAATGTTTTTACTTATATGTGGAATCTAATGAACAAAATAAACAAGCAAACAAAATGGAGATAAACTCATGGATACAGAGAACAGACTGGCAGCTGTCGGGGGTGGGGTGGGAGAGTGGGCACTGGATGAAAAAGGTGAAGTGATTAAGCAAAAAAAAACAAAACAAACAAACAGCTCATAGCCCTGGTCAGTTAGTTGGGAGTACCATCCTGTGCATGGAAGGGTTGTAGGTTCGGTTTTCAGTCAGGGCCCATACCCAGGTTGTGGGTTCAATCCTTGTTTGGGGTACATACAGGAGGCAACCAATTAATATTTCTCAAATCAGTGTTTCTCTCTCGTCTCCCTTCCTCTCTAAAATAAATAAAAAAACATACCCTTGGGTAAGGATTAAAAAACAACAACTCATAAACAGAGGGGGATGGGAAAGGTAGGAGAGGGTAAAAGTGGGATAAATGGTGAGGGAGGGAGACTTGACTTGGGATGGTGAAACACAATACAATATACAGATGATGTGTTATAGAACTGTACACCTGAAACCTATGTAATTTTATTAACCCTTGTCATCCCAATAAATTCAATTCTAAAAAAGAGATTTCACTCACACCTGTCAGAATGGCTATCATCAATAAATCCACACACAATAATTGAGAATATGGAGAACAGGGAACCCTTGTGCGCTGTGGGTGGGAATACACACTAGTGCAGCCACTGTGGATCACAGTATGGAGGGTCCTTAAAAAATTAAGCACGGAACTGTCTTATACCCCAATGATGATTCCACTCTGGGCATGTATCCAAAGAAACCTGAAACACTAATTTGAAAGAATATATATACCCCTATGTTCATTACACCATTATTTACAATATACAAGATCTGGAAGCAGCCCGGGTGTTCATCAATAGGTGAGTGCATAAAAATGTAATACATACATACAATGGAATATTATGCAGCCATAACACAAATGAAATCTTACCATTTGCAATAGCAATGATGAATTTAGAGGGTGTTAATTGAAACAGACTCACAGACAAAAAACAGATTGATGGTCGCCCCAGGGGAGATGGTTGGGGGACTAGGTGAAAAAAGTGAAAGGATTAAGAAGTATAAACTGCCAAAACTGGTTTGGCTCAGTGGATTGAAAGTCGGTCTGTGGATTGAAAGGTCCCAGGTTCGATTCAGGTCAAGGGCATGTACATTGGTTGTGGGCACATCCCCGGTAGGGGGTGTGCAGGAGGCAGCTGGTCGATGTTTTCTCTCTCATCGACGTTTCTAGCTCTCTATTCCTCTCCCTTCCTCTCTGTGGAAAATCAATAAAATATATTAGAAAAAAAAATAAGTATAAACTGGTAGTTATAAAATAGTTATGGGGATCTAAAGTAAAGCATAGGGTAGAGAGTCAATAATATTGCAATAACTATGTATGGTGCCAAGTGGGTACTAGAAATATAGGGGGGGGGACACTTTGTAAAGTATGATTGTGTAACCTGAAACTAATACAAAATAATGAATGTAAACTGTAATTGAAAAATAAAGTTCTTTTAGAAAAAGATTTTTTTTTAAATCAATCTTTATTGTTCATATTATTACAAAGGTTCCTCATTTCTTCCCCCCTCCACCAGGTTCCCACCCCACCCTCTGCCCCCTACCCATCCCCCATTGTCCTCATCCATAGGTGCAGTTTATGTTCAGTCTCTTCCTCCCTCCCTTTCCCCGATAGTAAATCCCTTTTCAGATAGTAAATCAGTTGCTTAGCATTTTCTCATATCAATAATACCTCCACATGCCCAATGATACACTTCACACAAAAGACATTTCCCAATAGGTCAACCAGCCTCATCCAGGCCCCACCCAAGGCACTCACAGATCAACACCCCAGCCCTATACTAATTCAACACATCCAGATCTAAGCCCTCATCACTTGATTTAGCAGACCCTCAGAAAAAGAGATTTTATTGTAAGAAATAGGCTTACATAGTTGTGGGAACTGGCTAACCAAGTCCAAAAATTCATAGCACAGTCTCTCAAAAAGGACAGGCTGGAACTCTTAAACACAGACCAAAGCTACTTACGGTTCACAGCAGGAATTTCTTCTTCATCAGGGAAGCCTCAGCTCTGCTCTTAAGGTCTTTCAATTGATTGGATCAGGCCCACCCAGATTACCTAGAATCATTTCCCTTACTTAAAGTCAACTGGTTATGGACTTTAATCACATCGACAAAATACCTATCTGCACATGAAAATTAGTTTGATTCAATAACTGAGGACTGAGTTAAGTTTCAAAAGAGTTTTATTGTAAATAAATATCTAACAATAAAAAAATAACTATAGCTTAATCAAACTGACATATCAAAATAACATTACAAAGTAGTAGGAGGAAAAGGGGATAGGAAAAGAAAAAAAGAGAAGGGAAAGGAAAATAAGAAGGAAGAGGGGGGGAAAGAGGTGTAGTAAAAAGGGGTTTAGGAAAACGGAGAGGGAAGATGCTAGAAAGTTAGCAGAGGGTTTCCATAACCAAGGTTATGATGATAAGTAGAAGAAGATGAAAAGAATAACAAGTTGAACCAGAAACATTACAACACAGATATGAAGGATAAGCATTCTCCGTGAAGGTATGACACAGAACCACTAGACAAAATGTCTTATCTATCATATACTCCGCAGAAGAGGAAGGATTCTGTAGGTAAAACAAAAAGAAGTGGAAACAGTTGCCCTTGGCAGCAGTAGCAGAAATGGATGTGGAAGTGGATGACTTGCTGCCACGGTGTTCAATAATCCCTGGATAGAGCCTCCTCATGGCCAATCAAAAGTCATAGTGCCACTATGCTGCACACCTGAAACTAATACAAAATAATATTGAATGTAAACTGTAATTGAAAAATTTTTTTAATTAAAAAAAATCATCGTGCTATAGTCTTTGAGCTAGAATTCCACTTCAAGGGATGTATTCTATATTTAATTTCTTTATAATCTATATGTTATTCTATATATAGCCTGTAAATACATGTTTGAAATGACACATGTACAAAAAGTATTCACTAAAACAACTGTTTGCAAGAGCTAAAAGTTGGAAGTAATCTAAATGTCTAACAGTAGGAAATTGATTAAATAAACCATGGTACAGCTAGCAGTGAAATACTATACAATCACAAAAATGATGAGCAACTCTATATGGACTTACTTGGGAAGAGTTCCAGCACATGCTGTTAAGTAAAAGAAGCAAGGTGCTGCCCTGGCCAGTGTGGCTCAGTTGGTTGAGTGTCAACCCATGCACCAAAAGGTTACTGGTTCAATTCCATGTCCAGGTTGATACTTAGTAGGGGGCATGTGGGAAGCAACCGATAAATGTTTCTCTCTCTTGCTCCATCTCCCTTCCTCTCCAAAAATCAGTGAAGAAAAAAAAAAGCAAGGCGCTAAACAGTGGGCATATAATGCTACAATTTGTGGGTTGTTTTTTTTTTTTTCAAGGAATATATAAATATATGTTGATAAATGAACTGAATATTTTTGGAAAAATATTACAAACTGATAACTGCCTACAAGGAAAGGAAGTAAATTGAGGGATATAAAGGGGAGGAAAACTTACTCTTTACCACATACCTTTCTGTACATTTTATTTTTTGTACTATACATTATGTATACAAAAATTAAATACTCTATGTAATGTTAAAAGGGGATGAGGTTGTCGTAAATACTGTTAATCTGCAGGATGTTATAGAATCAACCAAACTTTCTGACCTCTATCTGCTCTCCAAGCGCCTCATACATGATTGAATGGCACTTCTACAAATAAGTTGCAAAGCACTTCTATGGAATGATGCCTGGACAAAAATCTGAAAACTAAGGAGCATAAGAGGGCATTTCCATTTTCTACTCCTACTGAAAGCAGGGGCTCTGGGAGAGCAGAGAGGATATGATCAGCAGTGAATACAGAGCTATTTGATAGTGTCAGAGAAAACAATTTAGCCTCCTAAGATATTAGAATGAGAGGGTTTTTCTGCTACAGAGAGCACAATGCATAAGGGCTAGAGATATTATTTACTTAGAGACATCCTAATCTGATTATATGGATTTTAGACAGAAAAAGTAAGAGTTAGAAATATGTTCAAGTGAAACTAAAATTGACTGTAATAGAGCACATTAAAAATGGCATTAAACCCCTAGCTGGTTTGGCTCAATGGATAGAGCGTCAGTCTGTGGACTGAAAAGTCCCAGGTTCAATTCCAGCCAAGGGCACATGCCTGGGTTGCGGGCTTAATCCCCAGTTTTGTTTTGTTTTTTGTTTTTTTGGGGAGGGGCGTGCAAAAGGCAGACGATCAGTGATTCTCTCTCATCGTTGATGTTTCTATCTCTCTCTCCCTCTCCCTTCCTCTCTAAAATCAATAAAAATATATATAAAAAAGAAAACATCACTATAGTAAAACATCATTTAAAAAAAAAAAAAAAGCCCTACAAGAATGACATTAAAGCCCTGGCCAGTAGCTCACTTGATTAGAGCATTATCCTGGTACGCCATGGTTGTGGGTTTGGGTCAAGGTACATACAAGAAGCAATCAATAAAATGCATAAATAAGTGGAAGAACAAATTGATGTTTCTCTCTCTTTAAAAAAAAAAAAAATCAATTAAGCCCCGGTCTGTGTGGCTCAGTAGTTGAAGTGTTGGCCAGCACACTAGTTAAGACCATGTACCTGGGTTATGGGTTTGATTCCCGGCCCTTGGGTAGAGCGCATGCGGGAGGCAATCAATCCATGCGTCTCTTTCACATCAACATCTCTTCTCTCCCTCTCTCTGCCTCTCCTACACCCTTCTACTTTAAAAAAACCAATGGGGAAAATATCCTCAGGTGAGGATTAACAAAAAAAAATTGTCAATTAAAATTTAATAAATAAATAAACAAATAGAATGGCATTAAAGAAAGAGTGACAGTACAATAGTCCCCCATTATCTCAGGGTTAGGTTCCAAGACCCGCAGAGGATGCCTGAAACCTCAGGTAGTACTGAACTCTATATACAAGGTGAGGCAAAAGTAGGTTGATAGTTGTGAATAAAACACAATTTGTTCTTGTATTATTATTTATTATTGTATTATTTTCCATACAAACAACTGTAAACCTATTTTTGCCCCAACCTGTACATTATGTTTTTTTCATAGTGTACATAGATAGATGCCTATGATAAAGTTAAATTTATAAATTAGGTACAGCAAGAGATTAACAATAACTAATAAGAAAATAAAAGTTATAACAATATACTGTAATAAAAGTTATGTAAATGTGGCCTTTCTCTCCCTTTGATCATCAATCTTATAATGGAGAGGGCTACTACATGTTAATAGGCTGAGAGCATATAGCGTATTTATGCTGGACAAAGAGATAATTCATATCCTGGGTAGGACAGAGTGAGATGGCTTGAGATTTCATCACCCTACTCAGAACAACGCACAATTTAAAAATTATGAATTGCTTATTTCTGGAATTTTCCATTTAATATTTTCAAACCATGGTTGATTGCAGGTAACTGAAACCACAAAAAGTGAAGCTATGGATAAGAGAAGACTACTATAGAGAACAGAAGGTGTTGCCACCTTCACAAGATTGGAAAAGAAGTGAAAACTAATATTAGAGTCCAAGATGCTTTTTTTCCTCCACAAACACCCTCAACTTGTTTTTCTCACTGTTTGCTTTTCTCAGAGCCCTTTCCACTGCACTCTCTGGGGCTCCTGTTCCACAGAAAACAAACTACCACACCCTGGTTTTCTCCACTGAACAGTACCTTCCATCCCTTGCCTTTACTGAACTGCGGTTCTCTCCTGAAGCTCCTGTTTTCCTGCGTCTCCTCCCGAAGGAGACTGCCTCTCCTCACACTGACTCCCACGAAGACGGCAGTGGACAGATGAGGAAAGCTTCCTCCTCGCTCCTTGTTGCCAAGTCCATCACTCATGGGGAAATAATTTTGTTGCTTTGAGGCTCATAGTACCTGGCTTTGTAACTGCTTACACAACTCTAAAACTATCATCCCAACCTCCTTATTCAAGGAAGAATTCTTTAATCTAGCTTTCAGTTTTCCTTTCTGCCCTGTGTCTTGTCATCAGCTAAGACTCCAGAATTAATCTAGGTAACCATCTGACTCCTGGCTTCCCAATTTCTTAACTTTTTCAATTGCCAGCAAGAAAATACCCAAATTCCTTAGTATGACAGACAGCATCCTTCTAGTCACCAGTCTACTTTATTTCCTGACATGGCTTCTTAGGTACTGTATATTCCAGCTACAGAAAATACTTCACATTTCTCCAAAACCACTGTTAATTTATTCCTTTTATCATTCTCATGCCCCTGTAATGATAGTTTCCACCCCCACTTAATTTGTGTGTTGAGCAGAAATATGAATGATGCATTTAACAATCCAGCTTTCCATTTCCTACTCTGCCTTTACTCCAGAAACTTTGTTTTCCATTCCATTTCAGCCTCCACTCTCGGAGCCACATCCTAGACTTCTTCGTTGCCCAGAAAAATATGACAGCTAAAATGTTAAACCCCCATATCACAAAAAGCCAAAAGACTTTCAATTCTGGCCAAGATTGACTAATTTATCCTCCTCCCTGAAATAACAACAATGGGCAAAGTATATGACACAACACTTTTCAGACATTCCACATCAGACAGCACATAATAATGATCACAGAAAGAGGAGAAACAAACCAGATGAGTCATATGATTGTCCTAGCATACTATCTGGAGATAAATTCTAAGCCACAGGACAGATAAGTGAAACCCAAGCGGAGCCCAGCAGTCTCTCTGAGTTGAGAAGACATAGTTGGGAGTCCAGGGAGGACAAGGAAGCTCAAGTTCACAGGACAAACTACAGGAGAGCAGAGAGATGTACAAAGAGAAAGCTCTGGAGATTTGCAGAGGATACCCCTTGAGTATTGAGTAGTGAATGAAAGTAAAGAAACTACCTAAAGTTGGAGAAAGAACCACCTGAAAGTATTAGAGCGGAAAATACTCAAAGCTCACACAGGGACTAGATGGCTTTGTGTTCCCACCAGTCCAAGTGAGAAAACTTACATAACTCACAAGACACGAGGTGGGCCGAAACCGGATTGGCTCAGTGGTAGAGCGTCAGTCTGCGGACTAAAAGGTCCCGGGTTCGATTCTGGTCAAGGGCATGTACGTTGGTTGTGGGCACATCCCCGGTAGGGGGTGTAGAGGAGGCGGCTAGTCGATGTTTCTCTCTCATCAACGTTTCTGGCTCTCTATCTCTCTCCCTTCCTCTCTGTAAAAAATCAATAAAATATATTAAAAACAAAAAAACAAAGACACTAGGTGGAATACTGAGAAGGGCTTTGCCTAAATAGTGGAGCAAAGTTAGCCTGAGACTAAAAGGCTGCTTTGATTCTGGCTCTTTAAAAAAGCTTAAAAGCTAGTCTCAGAAAGATAAAATTGGCCTGACTGGCAGGAGGTCATGGTTCAATTCCTGGTCAGGGCATATGCCCAGGTTGTGGGCTTATCTCCAGTGTAGGGCGTGCAGGAGGTAGCCGATCAATGATTCTCTCTCATCATTGGTGTTTCTATCATTTTATCCCTCTCCCTTCCTCTCTAAAATTAATAAAAATATATTTCAAACAAACAAAAACTAGATATGCCTATAACCATGTTGACTTACTACATGTCAAAATGTATCCAAAGTGATGGTACACTTCCGTAGCAAGATTTCTATATTGCACAACCTCCTCAACAACATCGATGTTACTAGACTTTGTAATATTTGTCAGTCTGATAAGTATAAGTGATCTCATT